GCGTTTACTATCTGTCCGTTTACTTTAGACTTAAATGTTGGTAACGAGCTTGATGTGTTTAGTAGGTGGATTCTTTCAACTGGTTGGTTATGGTTTTGTGAAGGGTTGTTTCTCTGTGGTCTCTGGTAAGGTTCGTTCCTTGAAGATGAGCGTTGTTGGCTTAGTTGTTCTAAGTAGTTCACTCGAGTTTCAACTCTAAATTGTTTCACACCTCTAATATTTCCTAATATCACATCGTATGGCCCGTTTTTAAAAACAGCTGCTTCAACTGTTTTACACGCTGAGGGTGTGGCTATGGTGACTATAGCTGTTGGCCAAACATATGTGCTGCCTCTTGAGCTGTGAACACGTTGTGTTCTGCCTGTGTATTGGTGGTGTTGTACGAATGTGTTACGTACTGCCACTGTTGAGCAGTGTGTGTCCCTAATTGCTGTGGCGTATCTGCTATTAATTTTTGACGTAAATGTCTCTGTTCTTTTACTGGCTTCTGTAAACGATGATATGAATGCTATTCTATTAATCTGTCTATATTTTGGTCTGTTGCGTTGTGCATCTTGTTGGCGTATATCATAATATCGTATTCTGCAATTTATTTGTTTGTGGCCTGTTCTATTACAATAGTAGCATCTGACACTGTAATTGTGTTTTTGTTGACTGTAGTTAATCTGAATGTTGTGATTTGCGCTATTATGTTTTTGGGGTGTATGTGGTGTTTCACTTTTTGTAGTAGGTATTTCGCTTGCTTCACTGAACGTGTCATCTGAATCTGAGTCGTAGGAATAGTAAAATGTTGTTTGGGCTATCTGGTTGTTATTATTAGTATCTAAACTTTGCACCGTTTCTTGTTTGGCTTGGTGAAGTTCTCTCATTTTTTCTCTTTCTTTACGAATTCTTTCTGTTTCTTCTTTAATTCCGGCAAGTTTCTTTTCTAACTCGGCATCTTTCTTTGCATCATATTCTTCTTCATTTAACAAGGAATCTGGATCTCCGGTTACCTTATAATCTACAATTCTATTGATCAAATCTTCCATAGCATCTGGATCATCTAGAGTTTTTGCGTCAAATTCTTTAACAGTTAATAACCAGTCTCGATTTTCTGTTGTCGTGTATTGTCCAAGCCTAATAATCAATTCATCCAGAATATCTGGATCCTCAATAGTTCTTGAATTGCTTTTCACTTTGACTGTATTCTGAACATTTATATCTAGTAACGAGTTATCAATTCTACCTGACTCTTCTAGGCCTGACTTAAGTTCAGTTTTAGTGCCCACTTCGTACAATGGAGGCATTTTTAAGGGTAGTGTGGTTGAAGAAACAGATAAGAAAGAGGCAGAAAAACCGCTGGCACCAAATATCCAGCACAAGTCTAAACCCAAACGTTTAAAAAAAATTTTGAAGGTACTTATCTTTTTGGACATGTTGACTGTTTCCTTGTGTTGTTAATCCAAACTCGTTCCGGTTGAAGAAACCCGCTGTTGTGTTGAGTTAAGGAAGCTGTACAACAGTACACTCCGTCATGAGTAAACCGATATGTACTGTCTTTCCTGTCCTCGACCCGCGCTCCACCAGTTGTGAGGGTGGGGATTTTAAGAGGCCGGAACGAATGGATCCAATAACACACAGTTCAAGTTCAACTATAATTGTTCTTTATTAAAATGATATATATGTTCAAGTTTCTACCTAACTGATCTACACTGTACTATTTACTTCTACTACTGACTGTTCATACCACATGCTACCTACTACTACGCACTCCCATGACCAATCCTAACACTAACTGTTCTCTACATTCTACAACCTAACACCTTCTACCTTCGCTAGCCAATCATGATCTCCTAACTATATACCTTCTCGGCCGTCTCTGACCGCTACCTAACAACTCCTGGCCCATCGCTCTACTGCCCCACGCCTCAGTGGTCAGCTGACCGTCCCACGTGACCGGTCAGCCCTGTGCGCCCATTGGCCTCTCTAACCAACCAACTAGGCCTATAGTCTGTTTCTGCTAACCTATACCTGCTAAACATGTCTGACGTAATCTTGCGTCATCACAGGTAGATGATCTCTGGGTTAAAACTTAGATTAAAGAGCTAAAGTAAGTTGTCTAAGGTAGATGATCTCTGGGTTAAAACTTAGATTAAAGAGCTACAGTAAGTTGTTAAAGGTAGATGATCTCTGAATTAAAACTCAGATAAAAGAGCTAAAGTAAGTTGTTAAAGGTACATGAACTGTGAGTTAAAACTTACACAGATAAAAGAGCTAAAGTAAGTTGTTAAAGGTACATGAACTGTGAGTTAAAACTTACTCAGAATAAAGAGCTAAAGTAAGTTTAGGCAAGAGCTTGAGTAGGGTAATAGCTCAGTAAAAGTACACAGAAGAGCTAAAGTAACTTGTCAAGCGTGTATGGGCTAAAAGCTTTTAAAAGCTTTTACAAATTAACTCAATCATCAGAGATAAAGTCGTTTACAATGGTACACGAACTAAAGACCATGAAAGTTCGAAGGTCAAAAACTTACACATAGTTATAAAGTAAAAAGTTCAATTTGGCAGCTCTTAAAGAAACATAAGCTACGAGTAACCTTTAGAAATAATGAAATATTAAACACCACTGAATTAAGGTAAAGGATTGTTAAAATACGTAGATTTGTTAACAAAAACACTATTGCTTTAGATAAATAAACCGGGAGTGATCTCCCCTAAACGTTCTCGAATATTCTAATATAACACTACGTGGGATGTCAACTCGGAATATAGACATGATTTTTGTTTACTTAAACTTTTAAAAATAGAATAAAATCTAGTAGAAAAAAAATTGCGCACCAAGCGAGCACCAAAACCAAATGTGCGTAATAATGCGCAATATTATTAGTACTTTATAAATTTACATGCGTTTTTTGAGAAATCGGAAATAGCGTAAATTAGTACTTCCGGTCAACGGAAATTACTCAAAATTTGATAAAAGGTAGAGAATTAGATCTTTTACTTACATGTGAAATTTCATTTATCTATCTGAATTAGTACTCAAGTTATAGGCTTTTGAAAAATTCAAAGTAGAAAAAGTACCACTTCCGGTTATCGGAAATCGCTCAAAAGTTGATACGGATCTACGATTTTGATATAATACTTATATATGAAATTTCATCAACCTAGCTGTAACGGTACTCAAGTAATCGTGTTTACACACAGACACACAGACACACCGACACACACACACACACACACACACAGACATACGGACAAGATTGCAAAATTATGTTTTTCCGTATCAGTGAGGTGTAAAACGTCGAGATTTGTAAAAATCTCGATTTTTTTTTGCACGATTACAATACTTTCTCTATACTACGTATATACGAGAAAGTAAAAAACAAATTAATTAAAAAAGTCTAGTGACATTTATGCGCAATTTCCTTATGTTATCTAAAAATAGCTCTGACGTATAATGCTGGGGTGCGTTCAAGCTAGAAGAACGATTGGTTTGTAGGTGTTTATGTAATTTTAAAATTTGTGCCCGAACGAGAGGATATTTTTTCTTCGGCAATATTGTTCTAAATTATGGCAGGAATCGATTGGTACATGTTTCAAGTCGCTAAGTGGTCTGGTTGCCGAGATATGGGCAAAAAACTGCATTTTTTCGAGGTTTTTTGGCTTTTCCGGGAAATACATGAAAGAAACCCGGAATTTTTATGGCCTATGCTCATCCTCGTAACTTGCTTAACATAATTGCTTTGGAACTAGTCATCGATATTGCTTCGTTGAGGAGGAGATACGACTTAAAGCTGCGGACACACATCCATCCATCCATCCATCCATTCATTCATACATCCAGAAATGACGGGTTAATAAACGCAATTCTCCAGAATGGAAATTGCGCTAAAAATACTCGTAGGTTTGAATTGAATTTTTTTAAAAGGGTAAATATAGGAAAATATATTTAAATAGCTTTCATTTTTTTCGAAATATTAAACATTCGAGTAAAAAAATTATTTCACAATAATAGCGATTGACGCGAAATATAAGGTAGTGAGACTCGGAAAATTAAACTAACATGATGTCCATATATTAGACCAATATTATGTCCATATATTAGACCACCATTATATCCACATACTCGACCACCATCTGTATGTCCACATACTAGACCACCATCTGTATGTCCACATACAAGACCACCATCTGTATGTCCACATACTAGACCACCATCTGTATGTCCACATACTAGACCACCATCTGTATGTCCACATACAAGACCACCATCTGTATGTCCACATACAAGACCACCATCTGTATGTCCACATACTAGACCACCATCTGTATGTCCACATACTAGACCACCATCTGTATGTCCACATACTAGACCACCATCTGTATGTCCACATACTAGACCACCATCTGTATGTCCACATACTAGACCACCATCTGTATGTCCACATACTAGACCACCATCTGTATGTCCACATACTAGACCAACATTATGTCCACATACTAGACCACCATCTGTATGTCCACATACTAGACCACCATCTGTATGTCCCCATACTAGAACACCATTATGTCCACATACTAGAACACCATCTGTATGTCCACATACTAGACCAACATTATGTCCACGTAACAAACCACCATCTGTTTGTCCACATACTAGACCACCATCTGTATGTCCACATACTAGACCACCATCTGTATGTCCACATACTAGACCACCATCTGTATGTCCCCATACTAGACCACCATTATGTCCACATACTAGACCACCATCTGTATGTCCACATACTAGACCAACATTATGTCCACATACTAGACCACCATATGTATGTCCACATACTAGACCACCATTATGTCCACATACTAGACCACCATCTGTATGTCCACATACTAGACCACCATCTGTATGTCCACATACTAGACCACCATCTGTATGTCCACATACTAGGCCACCATCTGTATGTCCACATATTAGACCACCATTATGTCCACATACTAGATTACCATCTGTATGTCCACAGCTGTCCTCCTGGTACCAGCCTGTGCTGTTCACATCCACCATACTGATGTATGCGCATAGCGCCATCAACCCTATCATGTACGGCGCCATGAACAAAACCTTCAGGACGGGGTTTCGACACCTGCTGGGAAGGTGAGGGTCGACACTTTAAACTGTGTCCTTGTTCAATAGTTTATTTCCAACGTTGTTTCATAGCTTATTTTCTACTTCAATTATAATTTGTTTTTCAATAGGCTACTTTCATTGTTACTTGCTAGCTCATTTACTATTTCAATTTTTTTGTGTTAAATTATTTATTTTCAACTATTTTTGCTAGCTTATTTTCTACTGAAATTTTTTGTTGTTTGAAAGTTAAATTTTTTTGTGCTCAAATTTTATAATTGTATTTTTAGTGTGATTAATCGATTATTTTTAACGTTGTTTACTTAACCTTAAAATATCAATGCTTGTGCTACTATGTAAACATGAAAATATGTGCTGATCTACTAACCTGACACGGCCGGGTTTCGTTCCAGGATCCGGGGGGAGAAGACGTACGGCTGGGACTCTCAGATCAACATGGCCGAGTCTCTCAGGGCCAAGACAGCACCGGCAGGTCAAGGTCGACTGGACAACACCAACGTCACATCCGTGTCGGAGCTGGTGCACACGGCCTCAGTCCTGAGCACGGTGGTCTTGCCCAAACATTGAGGTCTGGTCGTGGTGGAGGTTTACAGTACCACGACCAATAGCCGGGCCTGGTCGTGTTGGAGGTTTACGGTACCACGACCAATAGTCGGGCTTGGTTGATGCCAAGTCTTACAGTATAAAGACAAGAAAACGACGAAGCTTTAATTGTTACGGTTTATATATTTTAACATTGAAACACATACTACCACAGAACTAACTAGCTACTAGTGGGTCTGAAATGTTTGGCTGACAATTTTCACAGATCTAAAACATTATGTTTAACTGATGCCATCAATGTTTATGTTACCATTGTACACTTTAACTTGATCCGCCCCAATCTATCACTTTTCAAATGGATCATTTTTTTAAAACATTTTTTATATCTTAGAGCAGGGGTCTCCAAACGTTTGAGTCCGAGGGCCGCATTAACCATCAAATTTCAGTTCGGGGGCCAGTTTCTTCCAGGCATGTCTTTGATTTTTCTGGCCAAAGTTCCTCAGCCATCACCAACAAACGTTTTTTTCCCGTGGACAAAAAGATCTCCGCGGGCCGGATGAGAGGACTTCGAGGGCAGCATCCGGCCCGCGGGCCGTAGTTTGGAGACCCCTGTCTTAGAGGGAAAATATATACAGTTATAGACACAAAATCATATGATAAAACCAGCGCAATAGAAAATTTCAACAGTAGGTCGTACATACATTTCCTCGAAACCCGCTCATTCCATATGTCATACAGTACTAACATACAAACATACACAGCGTTAAATGAGATATATTATATCTAATCATATTACGAGATGATTAACTTAAATGGTCCAAGTAATGTATAGTTTTATCAATATCTTTATGGTCCAATATTTTTCTTTCATCCCAACCACATTAAAATATGATTCACCATTATAAGACACGTTTTTCTCCAAAATTTTACGGTACAAAATTTGGACTGTATTTCTTCCCGGTTTTATTGTACAACGTTCATGTTAAAAATATCTATTTTCTGTCAGTTCTACATTTTATGTATTTGTCCAATTTTATCATCTCACATTTATGCATGTGATTTTCTCATGTGTTATACTACAATATATAAACCTCTTACTGTCCATGGTTTTCTAGTCCTACGTTGTGTTTTTTATATGGATTATCCAGTTTTAAGGTCTTACATTTTGTATTTATTTAAGGGTTATCCAGTCTTAAAGTCCTTGTGTTTTTGTTTTTTCTATATGACTTTCTCCAGGTTTTGGTCCACCATTTGTGAAGTGAAGAACATCGTTTTATCTACATAATTGTCGTCCTACTCGTCTTGTTTGAACTGTATGCGTTTATAAAACTAGATCATTACTAGAAATACACTGCAGTAGAAAATGTAATGCATGTGATATAGTCGCACATATGTGCCCCCGGTGCAGATATAATTTTAACTCCGGTGTGTTTATATCCCAACCCTCCTCTCTATGTTAACTTATATCGGAAGTTCTGTAAGAAATATATTTACATCGTGTATTTTTATAAATTGATCATTTATTTATATTAGTAAGCACCATGTTGGATTACGTTTTTTTCCCGTATGGTAGATTGATGATCACAATGTCTGTAGTTTTTTTATGTTTGATAGCTTCAGGTTTAGCAGGAAATTATAAAAAAATCTTTTCCTTATCCAAGATTGGGCTGTAATATTGTAAGACCTAAAACAACTAAAGAAAAACGATTGGGATTTTGAATATTGCGCGATACAAGTTATAGACGATCCCTTAATGTACACCCACCCCACACCCTCACCTAAATTACCAAGCTACAAACTAGCTTAATGAATAGTATTAAAATATAAAGCGAACTATTGCCCACGTATGAAAGATTACACAGCGTAATTTTAGAGAGTTTAGGACTATTGTTTAGCGTAAGGCTGACTTTTAAGCCAACTATATTCTTAAAGGTATTTTGTTAATACACGTCTGTAAAACTCTATTCTTGATTTTCCTAATATTTTTAATTAAAAAAAATAACTTTATTTTTAAATACTGTAAAGAATAATTTTCTCAGCGTACCATTCCATAGCTATTATTGTATCAACCACTTTCTTTGCTACAACAACCACCGACCTCATCTTACAACCACTGCCCCAACCACTGCCCTCACTATACAACCACTGCCCTCATCTTACAACCACTGCCCTCGTCTTATAGCCACTGCCCTCAGTATATAACCACTGCCCTCATCTTACAACCACTGTCCTCATCTTACAACCACTGCCCTCATCTTACAACCACTGCCCTCATCTTACAACCACTGCCCTCATCTTACAACCACTGTCCTCATCTTACAACCACTGCCCTCAGTATATAAGCACTGCCCTTAACTTACAACCACTGCTCTCATCTTACAACCACTGCCCTCATCTTACAACCACTGCCCTCATCTTACAACCACTGTCCTCATATTACAGCCACTGCCCTCACTATACAAGCACTGCCCTCAGTATACAGCCACTGCCCTCAGTATATAAGCACTGCCCTTAACTTACAACCACTGCTCTCATCTTACAACCACTGTCCTCATCTTACAACCACTGCCCTCACTATACCAACCATTGCCCTCATGTTACAACCAGTGCCCTCACTATATACCCACTGCCCTTAGTATATAATCACTACTTTTGCTATACCAACCATTGCCTTCACTGTATCAACCATTTTCCCTTACCACACCAACCATATTGTTAAATGCACCAACCACTTTTATTGCCGCTATTTTTGTTCATTCCATATTAACCTATCTACATATTGTACACATATTTCTACAAGTTATATACAATCTATATTGTATACACAGTACACACCTCTAAAATTTACATACAATGGTTTATTTTAAAAAGAAAAGAACGTTGATTTTTAACATGACCTGAGCTAGTGACTGCTAAGCATATACCCTATCCTTTTTTTCTATTATCACCAACGACAAAATGTTTAAGAATATTTCTAGTAAAAAAATAGTCTTAAAGGTAAAAATAAAATTGTTTTGTACAAATAAAATAGTTTTCAATCTGTTTCCTACACGTAGAGGACGGACTGCGAATATCGGTGATGTCGAATGTTTTTTAAAAGAAAGTTTTACACAACTAAATGACACAAGATTTACACTAGAACCGGTAACACTATTCTACTAAACAAAATTAGATGTTGTAAAGCATTTGAATTTGATAATTTTTTCCCCAGTATTTTTATTAGCATACACTTCTGTGTGTGTGTGTGTATAAAATTCGAAATAATATAGGTAATAATATATAATATAATGACTAAAAATTGTATTTGCTTTTTGGATTCAATAAAAAAATTTAGCTTAAATATAAAAATTGTTGTTCTTTGTTAATTGTTATTAAATCACTAAACCCCATTATGATTTTTATGTCATGTAGGGTTTTATATATTTAAAAGTTTTTTTTTACAATGATTTAAAGCATTCACATAAGTGACATATATTCCAATACAAACTTTAAGCTTTATTTTACAACGGCATGTTGTTATACATTACATTCACGGCAATCCTAATAGGTACGTACGCGTACATTATTCTTTTGTATTTGAACAATATCAGTTCAACGATTAACTTATATCAAGGTAAGTAACTCGTGTTTTAGCACGGGTACTCTCCCCTTAGACTATTGTTTGGCTGACACCGACAAACAATAACAAGCGAATGTCAAACCTTCCGCGCATGCGCAGTTAGGCTTCAGTTATAGTAAAGTATTGAAGCAATAACCAGACTATTTATTTTAATAAACACGACCTAACTATTCCAAAGTGTGTACCTAGAACTTCAACACCACATTTTCCTGACACCACTTTGTGTATAGTGACACCGACGATAAAAAACAATAAATTTTTAATGGCAGTAATTATTTAATCTATCCTCCATTGTGGTGCTTGATATTTTTTGTTCAGCTAAAACTGCAGACGTGAGGCAGACGATTCGAAGTAAACTCCACCCATGACACTGATTTCTTATTGACACTGGAGGCCGTGTCACATGACCTGAGCTGACTTCATTTGACCGATGGTCAAGCCTAAAACAAAACAGCTCACCCCCCGTGTGACGTCATCTGTCAGTCAATACTCGGTCAGTGTTTAGGGAAACTTTGACGTGTCACTGACTGATCACTGATTGTCACAAGGTGCCGCGCTCTTTGTGGTCAGTGGCGTTTTTAACTATGATATTATTTCAAACTTTTTGACATTTGGGAGAATCCAGTATATAAGAAGGGGGGATGACTCCTTAAGTCATTTAGTCGTGAATCTTTTCATAGCATCAGCACATTACTGGATAGATCAGTATTAGAGATTTGTGTTGGGGTATTTCTGGGATTATTTTTTGGTTTATAACCAATTTGTTTTAAACTCGTGTGGAAAATTCTGAGATAATTTTTCGGAAATATTTTACAATGTTGATTAACTGCAGAACACAAGACGACAAAAAGGTGAGTATTATTGATGTATGTGTGAGTAATATGGATGTTTATCTGATTATTATAATGTTCGATTGACAATTATGTCTTTAATGTGAACTAATCATGAGAACTACCTTCAAAGCCCCAATTAATTAGTTTGCCAATTATAATGCTATGCCCATACAAACAGACGGAGTCTACTGCAGTTTTATTCAAGACTTACTAGCGAGCAATAATTTGAAAAAATTTTTTTACTATTAACCCATTTAAAAAAAAATCAACTTCGGCTTGTTTTTCTTTCTAATTTTGTTTAAGAACAAAATCCTTGCACCCACTTGTACTAACCAGGCTGGTTTAGAAAATTCAATTGTTGAAAAGTCAGGATATTACATACACTATGTTGTAGTTATGACAAAAATGTTCATGAAAGTATACAAAACGTGCTCTCCATAGTGATACGGTTACATTAAGCAGAACGGATTTATATGGACAGAGTTGAATTTTTTTTTAAAACTTCGTTTATAATTCGTAAATTTTTGAAGTTTTATTTATTTACTCTCATTTATGTACTTCATTCGATGGATCATCTCTCCACTGCCCCCCCCCCCCCCCATCAAGATCGCCACCCGATTTAACCTAACACAATTGAGTCCTACACATTAGACCTCTAGCCATTCACACAACACAACAGACGGCAGTAACGGCCCTGTATGTGTTTAGTTCGGTGACTTGTACCGTGACCAGTAGCGACACCAGGGAAACAAATGTGTCGTCACGCATGACTGCACGTGATGACCTCATACCACGACACCTTGGTCTGTGTTACGGCGTGATGAATTCAATCACAACTGGCAGGTGTCAATCTTCCAATCACCCTCCGCTTCTGTACACTGTGTTTTGTTTTCTCATTAGAAAGCCATCCTAGAAATATGTAGTGATTTGATTGGGTGGATTATATCTATTGGGATTCGAATATTGGCCAAATGTAATTTTTCTTTTTGTTTCACAAGGTTGTAACCTATTTTTTCACTTACTCAATACACCCTGATTGCATGTTGTGGTCCCTGGTACACGTTAGTTTTATCTTTAGATTAGAATAACGCAAGAACTGAGGAAAAGCGTGTTTGTAATGTGCGTTCAGAAATATTGATAGTGTTTCATTACGTTGGATAAAAGTAGATTTTTTTTAAACGAAGTTCTTGTAGTTTAACTAACCATTTCTAAGATTAGTGTTTATTTAATACCTAGAACATATTCTATTATCCAGTGTTTTTTATTCTATAAGAACCTTATACACAAAATAACGCCCTCCCCTCCAGCCAATGTGTGCCGATTGTAACGCAGTTTGAAGTTACATAATTAGCCAAATTGTTGCGACCGACCTGAGTGAGTTATTGCTGTCATAATTAGACGACGTAACATGAGACAAAGTTTGTTTTATGGTTTTCATTTTTTTAACTTTCAGACTAATGCCGTGGACGTGACCTGCTCTTCACCTGAGCATGTCAGTAATGAGCTCGTGTCACCTGACTCACCTGTGTCACCTGACTCACCTGTATCACACACACCTGCCAGGGTCACGCTGACCAGAGAGACGCCAATTTCCGCCGGAAGTCCTGGTCTGTCACCGGTACCAAGGTACCCAACACCAGCCGTGACCGGCCAGCAGACAACAACAGCAGATAATCGACCTTCACCTGTCGAGGTCAAGGCTACAGCTCGCCCTAGCAACTTCTCTATCAACGCCATTTTGGGCAGAGCGCCCTCTACCAGAGCGTGCTCCACGCCCAAGGGAGAAAACTCCAATCCGTGTGGACCTTCATCAGACACCCACCTGTGTACCCCTGGGGCAGACACCAGTCCGTGTACACCCGCGGGAGACGCCTACTTGTGTACACCAACAACAGGGCAGGGGAGGCAACCCAATGACGTCAACACCCCACACAATACCACTCACAGAAAACGAAAACGGGAGGAGAGTACCGCAGACGAAACGGTAAATACGAAATACACAAGTTATTCCCCTTGATAAATGTTTTGTCAGATTTCTATTTTACTAGACTTGGTACATTTTCATCATTTTACAACTTAGCGTTTCTCAAGGCAGACCTCTTTCCAAAATCCAATCATAAAGTGGAAGTGTATTACAAATATTTTAGACATTTTATAAAATGTACCATTTTAGAAAACTGATTAGTCTAAATAACCTAGGACACATTTATAACAATAATTAAATAATAAATGACGTTAAATTGTAATTATAAGTATTCATAAGCTACTACTATCAAATTAAATGAACAAAGTTCGATAACTCCGATGTTATTGTTGCAGGAGCCCCGCCCAGCCAGCTCTGAGTCTTCCTCTTGTAGCAGCTGTGAGTCCTGCGCCAAACGTCACTCGACCCACCCCCGCAGGAAGATGGAGAGGACAAAGTTCTCCAAGGAGGACATCTCGGCACTCAACGAGTCCTTCTGGAGAGACCCATATCCCAGTTCCCAGGAGATGGAGAAACTGGCCAAAACACTGGGTCATGGGATTGTCCAAATCAAGGTGAGCTTTTACATACTTCGGCTTCAACAGTACATCTATACATACCCACACTACCACACGGCCATCTCTCTCTCTCTCTCTCTCTCTCTCTCTCTCTCTCTCTCTCTCTCTATATATATATATATATATATATATATATATATATATATATATATATATATATATATATATATATATATATATATATATACGTATTTGTAGTGTATTTGTTAGTAGATTAAATGAAGTCCATTTGAAATATATTAACGTATACTTACTTAACCCCCCCCCGTTACCAGACCTGGTTCCAGAACAAACGAGCGTCTATCTCCGGCACCAGACAACCCAAGCGGCCAGTGCCCGGCCCAGTGATGGCCTTCCAGCTGAACCTGAAGATGGACCAGGACCAGCAGCAGAAGATCTTCCTGCTGCCCCCGTCTGCCGGCACCCCCACTGACCAGTACGTCGTCCAGCCGACCCCTGTCAGACACGCCCCCGGTCATCTGACACACGGTCCAGCATCTGACACGGCACATCTCGTGAGTGGACTTCCGCCGTATCACGGGTACACACTACACACCTTGCCGAAAATAGATTACCACATGGGACTTAACTCCAACCACAATATGGGACAGAACTCTAACATGACTGCAGTTAACCAAGCTTTAGCAAATAACACTTTATTCTCTCCCCTGATCTCGCCCTACCCCTCCTCCACATACACCCCATACGTACCCACAGAATCCCAGAGTCCATACCTCCCGCCACACCTCCTCCACTCCCATCTGTACAGGAACAGCGACCTGTATCCACTAATGGCATCCAATCCACTAATGTCATCCAGACATCCAGGGATGTATCCACTGACCGGACCAGCAACACCACCATCCCTGCATCCACTACTTCTCAGCCACGCTGGCCACATGTCAAGTACACAACAGCTAGAGAAATACGTCACTAGCAATAGGGATTCTGGGTGGCACGCAAAACTACTCTAAGTTGTGATCATAGAGAATCTGCATGGCACGCAAAACTATTGTAAGTTTTGATCACATATTGAGAATCTGCATGGCAGGCAAAACTATTGTAAGTTTTGATCATATATTGAGAATCTGCATGGCAGGCAAAACTAGTGTAAGTTTTGATTATACTTTTGAGGATCTGCGTGGCACGCAAAAGTTTAAATCATTAATCTGTTATAAAGACTTCCGATTCTATTCGCTGTTTGAATAGTAATGAGTTGTAATTTGTAAATATAAAACAAATAATTCTATTTGATGATGTTTTCAAAATGACCTACTTGGTAATGTAATCATGTGTTACAAAATGTTATTATTTCTATAATATTTGCCTTAAAACGTTGAAACACATGACAACTTAAATTAATGACTTAAGTCAGGCTTTGAGTCAGGCATTCGGTTGATTCGTTATTGTACAGAAATATTTATTTTTTTTTTTTTTTCATCTTGTTCTATGTCAAACGAATTATGTGTTTTTTATCTTCTTTTTTTTGACAGAAACATTTTCTTCTAAATCATCTTTGCCTCTATCACACGTTACTAACACCATATACCCACCCATCATTGACTAAATCTCTACTAACTACATCACATTTTTCTACATCAACCTTTACTAAATCACCCTTGTCTAAATCATCCTTTTCGAAGTCATCATTGACTATATCATCATCGACTAAATCACCATTGACTAAATCATCATCGACTAAATCACCATTGACTAAATCATCATCGACTAAATCACCATTGACTAAATCATCATCGACTAAATCACCATTGACTAAATCATCATTGACTACACCATCATTCACTGTTATCATTGCATCTCATATTTTTATGATTAATGCTAAAACAAATTTTTCCTTGTGATAAAATAAAAAAAAAATATACACTTCTACGAGTATTTATGATGTGTGCTGTTGTCCCATTATATTTAAGGTCTGATGATGTGTGCTGTTGAATCATCCCATTCAAGGACATGAATACCGGATCAGTCACGAGTGCTAGATAAATCAGTCACGAGTGCCGGATAAATCAGTCATGAGTGCCGGATAAATCACTCATGAGTGCTGGATAAAACAGTCACGAGTGCCGGATAAATCAGTCATGAGTGCCGGATAAATCACTCATGAGTGCTTGATTAATCAGTCATGAGTGGCAGATAAATCAGTCATGAGTGCCGGATAAATCAGTCATGAGTGCTGGATAAATCAGTCATGTCTGAGCGATGTAACCGGCGTGTTTACCGAATAGAGCCGGACCAGAATCAGCAACGTCACGTGATACTGACTTGTTTTATTTTCATTCAGTGTGTAACTGACATTTACTTAATGAAAAATTGAAATATATTCTAGTAAGTTGCTGGTATATTGAATTTAGTTTGTTAAGAATGTGAGGAAGTATAATGAAACCAGTGTTTCTTCCAGACTTTTTTCTCCGGGGGGGGCACTTGAAATTTTCGGGGGGGCGGTAGACTTTCTTCGGGGGGGCGGACACTGTTAAAAGTATATATTTTCTATATAAATTATATAAATTTCATTTCGTTCGGGGGGGGGCGGTAAAATTTTTTCGGGGGGGGGGGGGGGGGGCTTCGCCCCCCCCTTAAGAGATGCCTGGAAGAAACTCTGAATGAAACCGAAGTCTGTAGGTAAATTGATCCTACAAATCAAAACAGAGATTTAACACAGATATCAGTCTTTAATAAAAACATTAACATCAACAACGGAGGTCTATAGGGCGGTGTCAGCACAATCCGAGATCCACTGCAATTTATCTTGAGACTGTTTATTCCAGAGCTAAGGTTAGTCGGCCCAATCAATTCTGTGGTGTAGATCGGTAAACAGAAAGAATAAGAAATGTGTATGTTTCGATGGTATTTAGTGATTACTATTGATAACATGTTTTTACAGTGTCAATATTTCGTACTGGGATGTCTTATCGAGATATGCACTGGGATTACACCGTATCACTAACTGTGATGTTGTATACTACAATATATACCACATTACCACACACTACACACACCAAAGTAACTAAACACTACACACACTACACACACCAAATTAACCATATATTAAACACACCACAGTAGCCACACACTACAATAAATACACACTACAACAACCACACGCTACAGCAACACACAACCACACACTTCAACAATCACACACTACAACAACCACACACTACAACAACAACACAATACAACAACACTCAACCACACACTTCAACAACCACACACTTCAACAACCACACAATACAATAACACACAACCACAGACTACAACAACCACACGCTACAACATAACAACAACCACACAGCAACCACACACTACAGCAACCACACACTACAACATAACGACAACCACACAGCAACCACCAGCTACAAAACCACACACTACAAAACCACACACTACAACAACCACACACTACAACAACACACAACCACACACTACAACAACCACACACTACAACAACCACACACTACAACAACCACACACTACAACAACCACACACTACAACAACCACACACTACAACAACCACACACTGCAACAACCACACAGTGTAATCCCGCCAACCGACCCGTACCACCATCGACCCGGTCATCACGTGGCCTGAAATAGCCCGGGTAACATCAACTTGACCAAACACATAACCCACGCCTTGATGACCACTCGGCCAATGTCCGAGTGTCCGGCGCTTCAAGCGGTCACGTGACGACCGTAGTCCCAGCCAGGCGATCCCAGTCTATGGGCTGTAGCAAGCGTTATGTTCAAGCGTTCAAAATGAGATGTTGCAATGGATGATTTTGATACAAAATATTTTAATCATAATATTAAACGAAGATTGTACATAAGAAAATTAGTCTCATAAAAGTAAGGAAGAATTAAAGTTTTTAAAAGATCTGAATAATGCTCTTAACTTCTATCACCAGTACGTAGGGTTTGCAGTAAAAAATGGCTTAAGCTTAAGCACTTTCTTTAAAGCATTTAATGGTCCTGAACTGGAAGGATCGAATACGAGTTAGCCTGTGGGTTGCTAGTGTTTAATCTTGTAATCTCCTCTTTTGTTATTGAGAATAGTTTACATTAATTTAAAAATTACCAACTGAATATCTAATTTTTGAACAGGTAATATTCTTGCATTGTTATCGGAAACGTGATTATTAGAGAAGTGAACGAAATCCGTTGTTTTAGAAGTTGGTCGAGAATGAGCAGTCAGATTTTACCACAATCTTAACCACACTTGCCGATTTAAGCTTTAAAAAAAGAAAAAAAAATGAGAATCGAAATTAATTTACTTCGTTGATGGTACTCTTCGTACCGTCGTCCACATTGTTGATATACTTGATCTCCACTGACGTCACCGACACCCGCATCTAGTGCAGTAATCTCCCTTTGTTTGCCGACAGCGGCCAGCAATTGTCTCCCCGTACTTGTTCGTACGTCATAGCCGCCCCTGTGTACACACCACGGATGAGCGTCTGGGTTTAATAACACGTCCGGCCCAGCCGGGGCACCACACCCCCAACACAGTCTTCATCAGCTCCCAGGGCCTACAACTCCAATAAAGCTCCCTCTTTTGTCTGCCCTTTCACCCATTTCGCTGTTGGCCCCTTAAATCACTTCCTGTGCCCAAATTCTAATTTTAGTTTGGAAATTAAAAAAAAAATTGTAGGGAGGGGAGGAGGGTGTGGGGGAGGGGAGGAGGGTGTGAGGGAGGGGAGGGGGTGTGTGAGGTAGAGAACCCATCGAGCAATGTTGGTATCATCGACAATAAAAATGGTACAGGAACAGGGGAAATAATCCAACCCGGTTTTATAGGAGGGGACAGAACTCTCCATCAGACAGACAAGTCCTCTATGTCTGTTTTAATGTAGTGGAAACGAAGACAGACTTGGGGTAGTCTGTACTCTAGAGGCTCGGGGTGGAGTGGAATTGTAAGTGTACCACGCGAGGGTTCTATAGAGGTTCGGTGGGGTGGAATTGTAAGTGTTAAGGGTACCCAGCGCACGCCAAGTGAATGTTTACAAACTTTGGTAGGACAAAACGCGTGGTGATTTAAGCTTTGATCGTATGCTAGCCTCATGTGGGATACTGTCACATGGTCACACTATCACACTATCACACTGTCACACTGTCACACTGTCACACTGTCACACTGTCACACTGTCACACTGTCACACTGTCACACTGTCACACGTTCACACGTTCACACGGTCACACTGTCACACTGTCACACTGTCATACTGTCACACTGTCACACAGTCACACTGTCACACTGGTACACTGTCACACTGTCATACTGTCACACTGTCACACTGTCACACTGTCACACTGTCACACTGTCACACTGTCACACTGTCACATTGTCACATTGTCACACTGTCACACAGTCACATTGTCACACTGTCACACTGTCACACTGTCACACGCTCAGTTTGGATGGGCCAACGGATCCCAGTTAGTCACCAAGGACACAAAAAATAAAATAAATGTACTTTATAAATTGTTACATCGCTATATCATATGCGGCTTTTTCTTTACAAATTTAAAATATCCGAACTAAATGTATAATTTTCAATCCTACAATGTTTTAGTAAAAACATATTTAGAAATGTTGCTGTCACTCCTTGTAGTCTTATAGGTGCTGTTGTTTGTAACAAAGGTCGTATCTACTGTACATCGTCATCTTTTCCCGTTCCCGCCCAAGATACATGGGGCAGAATTCATCGGTTTCAATGACGTCGGAATGCAATGGCATGATGTGGTCAGCGCTATACTAACGTAAGTTAGGGTACTCACCAGAGCTGGATGGACTTAGGGACGTTCTGAAGATTTGAACCCGGATTCGAGACTTTCGGATTAGCAGTCTAACGCTCTACCGTTAGGCCACGCCATATGTCTGAGGTTAGCTGATGACAAAGGACATATCTGCTGTTGTT